TTTCGTTTAAGCTATTGGAATTATGAATATAAGATTTAGTATACGTAATTAACTATTAGGTGTAAATTAATTCGGTGCCTTTGCAATTTAATGTCCTGTAACTCTGGTTCAAATTAAAATTTTTTTTCGTCCTATATATGGTGACTTGAAAGTGTCAACCTTAAGCTTTAAGAAGCACAAGAATAGTCGACGGCCTTGCTGATGTAACCTCAGAAAACAGTTATCACGATGCTGTTCGAAAGGAAGCATTTGACGCACTGCATTCTTTTTATATTCCGAATAAAAATGCCGTTCAGTCTACCGAAATGATTTGTGCCGCTTTGGGTGAAGCTGCTGTGACTCATAAAACTTGTGAAAAGACCTTATACCGACGATAGAACTAGGAGGGTGTTTCTCCTGCACGATAACGCGCGGTCATGTATCACAAGTGGGACGAAGGATCTCATTTGTACATTAGGCTGGGAAATTCCCCTTCATGCCGCTTTTTCGCCAGATCCAGCCCCGTCGGATCACCACTTATTTCGGCCGCTTCAACATCGTCCGGCGGATACGCATTTTAAAACAGTCGGCGGGGTCCGAAAAAGCATTGATGACTTTATCGAGTCAAAACCACCAAGTTTTTCCCGTGAGGGCATTCATCAGCAGCCCGATAGATGGGATAAAGTCATAGGAAATAATAGAAATTATTTCGAACATTGAATTTGTATTCGACTTTTTGTAAATCAGCTTTGAACTTCATGAAAGAAAGGCATCGAATTAATTCGCACACCTAATAAAAACCTTCTGCAGGAATCTTTTACTTTCTACAATTGAGTTTTCGTCTGGTCTCCGAGCATCAGAACGTCTAGTCATACTAATGGATACCAGTTAGGTTAACGGATTGCGTTTCTTTTTTCGTGCGACCCCGCTGTGCATTAATATCCGGCTGTGGCTTGCATTACTTTCTCGCTCCGAAATTTCGCCGCGCGCGTTAGATCGCAACAGTTCGGCTGTGGTGAACGGTAAGCTTGCGTGATAGGAATTTGACCCTTCGGCGCGCGGCCAGATCGTGCCGGGTCGTTTGAGATCGGCGCGCGCGAACAACTGAACGTTTTCGAAGGTTGATACTTTTTTTTACCGTCGCTTACAAAACCAGGATTTGCTGTTCCCGCTCGATTTCAGCGGCGACGCCGACGCGCAACGTGAAGTACTAAAATAGAAAGTTCGAGGGAGATACGATCGCCGTACGATCGAAGATCTTGGTATTTAGCACGTCTAGCGACCGGAGAAGGGTACCTTTAATTTACATCTCTTCTTTTCCTGTTCGCCGTTTTAATTGCCTCGACTTACGTCTAACTTAGTCGCCGTCGTATGAGCCATCGGTCATCGTCAACACGTCTTCAGAAACTCGTGATACGTCATCAATTATATCCTACAAGCGCGTAATATTCCTAGAATATTACATAAATATTATTATTGTGTTATGTAATATTTTTTTAATATTATAATGTTCTATTGATGTTATATGTCTACTTCACGTAATATTCTTGGCATATTATAAAAATGTCCTTGGAATATTAAAAGAAATAAGATAATAATAATATATATAAGAAAAATATATATAAAAGAAAAATATATATAAATCAAATATACATATATATTATATATACAGGGTGTGCCAAACTAATCTTGATTCCTGTGTGTGCAATCAGAACGGGTGAAACTGAGTAGAAAAGTCCTGTACCATTTTGCAAATAACACGCAAAATTTCGAGTTATCAATGATTGAAAATGGTCATTTATAGAGGTTTCTTTAATTAATAACTCAATAATTTGCAATACACACGATACACGCGAGAAACAAACAACACGTGAAGCGTGTCAGCAAAAATATGCTCGGAAAACCGTTTCTTATCAAAGTGCACTGTCTCGTCACGGTGTGTGCAGTCGTACTGGTGCGTTTGCGCCATTGAAACTAGTATCCATAACCCTGCACTTGCACGTTCGTTTCAAGCGTGCTGAGCATGATTCGTCAAAATGTATGTAAATACGATCTAACATTAATTATATATACGTAATTATTAATTAATTAATTAATTAATTAAAGAATTAATTTTCATACCTCTAATATAATTACTAGCGAAATAATCGATTTCTTCGTGAATAAAATGTCTCGCCGATGTCTCGCCGATGTCTCGTTAAAGATACGGCACGTATATTTACGAAAAAGCGCGCGTAATTGTGCAAAAACGCATATATCAACCGAGAGAGACGAAGCCGCTGTTATATAAAGGACTAGTATAATCCAGTATTTCTCTCTCTCTCTCCCACTCACTCACTCACTCTCTCTCTCTCTCTCTCCGCTCGAAGACACGATACACGAAGTCGTTACGTCGTGTGCGAAATGCGCGAAATGGAAACTGCAGCGGGTTTCGCACTTTCTCGAGGACGTGGAGACCGACCGTCTCACAACGACGACGACCAGGACGAAAGACGATGACAACGATAGAAGACGTTCAGGGGAAAGGAGGATCGAACAATGCACCTCTTAATTACGGCCACCTTAATTACGCGCGTCTTCCTCGCAAACGAAGACTCGCGACTCGCGAATTTGAGAGAACGCACGGTATTGTATCATGTAACACATAATAGCAATGATAATTAAATCAATAAGCGGAGATTAGCGAACATAATGCGATAAGCTTGCGGAGATGAAGTCTGGACCTCCTGAAATTTGCTACGCAACACGAGAGCTTCATAGTATCATCAGCGTCTTGGAGATCTTCAACTATCTCCGTTGAGAAAAATAAGAGAAAAATCTCGGAAAAAATCTGAGAAGACTCAAAGAAGAATGCATTGGCCGGTTCGTAATCGGATCTTATACACTGAGAAAAGAACATAGTAGATTCGAACAAGTTTTATTTAAAGCAAAAAAGGATTTTTTTTTTAATATAGTTAGAGCAATTATTTATTACAATCTATTAAGGAATGTATTTAAAATAAAAGAAGAGAATAATGTAATAACAAATAAATATTTTCTTAATGTGAAATAATGTGTGCTTCGTTTGAAAGAAACATTAATTTGTTTTAAATCATTATTTATTTTAAAAAGTGTCTTAGTTTCAGAAAAATATCTTTTTTAGATTGAGAATATGTTTATTTGACTTGAAGAAATAAATCTTCAAGTAGAAAGAAGATATAAAGAAATATTTTTTAATAACAAAAAAAGTATTTTTTTAATTACCAGCTAATTTCTTAAACCAAAGTTCCTATTTATATCATATTTTTGTATTTTTTTTTTAGAAGTGAATACGAATGGAACCTTAATTGCTTAGTTTAATTTAAATTGTACTTGGAGAATTTACCACTGATGAGAGTCGAACCTGAGACATCTGGATCTTGAGTCATTCACCTTACCTACTATTATCTTGATTGACGAATATTTCGTATCGTATACATATGGTATATCCATGTTTAAGACGATCTTAAATATAAGATCTGACTATGAATGCCGATCACACACACATCGTGACAGCTATAAAGATGATAACCACATACGAGTTTTGCGTGTATATACAATTAATGCATATAACATAACTATTTTACATAATAAACTATTTTACAATTGTTGAATGGTGCGGCATAGCATAAACTACTTTCCAAATTCCTCAGGAGGTGAAATTTCTCGCTCGAAAAGCAGAGTGACAGCTGAGTCACTCGAATTCGAGTGACTTCTCGCTCGTGCAAAGAGAATTCTCCGCCTTGAATCGTCGACCGAATAATTTCACTCGAAATCGAAGAGTCGCAAAAACGTATTCTCCATCTGCACTAAACACGAGAGATGATTGAGCAACTAGAAGGATTACTCGAAGGATTAATTACTAAAAAAACTCGGTGACATATGTCGCGAAATAAATGTCAATCGATCGAGTCGAACACCTGCGATCGTAGAAACACGAGCGAGTGCCGAACGTCCCCTCTTTTTTTTTATCACCAAGTGATGCAAGCGTCATCGATTTTCCAGTTAGCTTCCGCGAATTAGTGCCTTTCGTAATGCAAATGTACGTTGCGATCATTCAGCGCAAGTCTCGTAACAGTAAACACACGTCGAATCAGTGCGAATTTGATTTGTTTTCTCTGTTCGATCACTCATCCTGTCGCCCGATAGGAATTATAATAATTATAGGAATAATAATTATAGGAAATATTAATTATATAATAATTATAGGAAATATTCGTAGAACGGAGAATTGCGCGATGTTATTCGCGGCGTAATTAAGTGCACGATAATTTGTGGAAATGATGAGCGAGCCGAACGATTTTTCATACTTTCATACTTTTCATATTCATCGTTCACTTTCTCTGCGATGTACGAAAGTTTAATTATGTTTACTCTCAACATTTGCACCGTTGTTGGTCGTACCTCTTCCGTTCTCATTGTCTATAACAGCAACGTCTCATCCTCCCTCCGACGCCGCTAGAAATTGTGTCCGGCTATGAAAAACATTTTATTACACGCGTATATTTCTCAATTGCAACACGGAAGGAAATCATTCAGGTTTCTCCGTGCATCATTATCGAAAAATCATTAAGAGCGAGCAGAGCTGGATCGTTTCCGCTGAATTTTGAGGTCGATTATCGCGTTACTTACATCACTTTTTGCTTTTCGGCACTGACAGTAAACGCCTGTGGAAATGGCATTACGTAATATCGTGGTAACGTGTTCTTGATGTCTGAAATGCGTACATAAATTTTATAATAACTTCACACGAGATAAACGAAAAGTGAAATTACCACAGCAAGTGTATTTCAAGGAACAAAACATCTTCCGGTATAAAATGTCTTTTAATAGCAATATTGATGTTCTTTTATCTAAAATGAAGATGAATATATTTTTATATTTCTTCCATTTAGATAAAGATAAAGGTTATCTATTTATTCATCTGGATGATCGTTTAGATAATTTTATCTAGATACTGTCAGAGACACTGGCTATATTCGTTTAAATGTTTGATCTTACAGAGCCGTCTCGTGCACGACCCGCGACCTCGTCTCTCGGCTTCCCAGCAAGCCCAGATACTGAGCGACGTGCAGCAACACCAGCAACGGTACCGGCGTCCCATTCAAGACTCGAAGAACTCGCGAATAGGCTCCTTCCAGTCGTACGACCAGGTGACACCAAAGTATCAGCAGCAGTCCAGCACGCCGTATCCATCCTTGGCTAAGTACAAGGTCGATCGAGCGAAGCAGCAGCAGTTGCAGCAGCTTCTGCAGCAGCAGCAACAGGTGCAACAGCTTCTGCAGCAGCAGCAGCAGAAGATCGCCCAGCAACTCAGCACTACCGCGGATTTCGTGGGTGGTAACGCGCCGCAGTACCAACGGCAGCAGTACCAACAACAGCAACAGCAGCAACAGTACAACAACCAGTACCAGAACGGCTTCCAAAACCTCCATCAGGACTTGTCGCAGCCGCTGTTCAGCGACCAGCAGACGCTGCAATTGCAGGAGTACTTGGAGAAGCAGCGCGAGCTAGAGCTGCTGCAGAAGCAACGGCAGCAGTTGCTGTACGAGCAGCAAGAGCTGCGACGGCAGCAGGAGCAACTGCGGCTCCAGCAATTGCAAAGACTCACCTCTACTACGCCGTTATCGTTGCCGCCGTCGTCGACCGCGGTTCCCATCGTCGCCAGCACCACCTCGTCGTCGGTGCTCCTATCGTCGCCGCCGGCAGCGCGACAAATCACGCCGTCCGAGACGGACCTCTTCCTCAAGGCGATCGCCAGCCATCAGAAGAAATATACACCGAGCACGGCGGCGACGACAACGACGACGACAACCACTACAACAACCACCACCACTCCTGCGCCACCATCCCCGCCACCCAAAACGGTCAAAGTCTCCAAGGTTCACCAGGAGTCGTCGAGCATACCCGACAACCTGCTCAGTCTGATTCAGGAACAAGAGAGCCAACTGGCGCAGCAGGGCAAGCCGAAGCCGCAGATCAAGGTGATCTATCAGACCGAGAGGCCCGGCAGACCGGGCGGTGCCAGAAATCGGCCTTCCCAGCAGTCGAGCGAGAGGGAGCAGTTGCTGAAGCAGTTGAAGCTCGCGCTGGCTCAGTCCGGCGAGGACGACGTCAGAAACGTGACCACCAGGGACCTGATCCTGCCGAACGGGAAGAAACTTCAAGTGATTCACGCGCCGAACGGCCTGTCCTCCATCGTGCCGGCCGGTAGCTCCGTACAGAGCTCGATCTCGCCGTCCTCCAGCTCGACTACCACGACGACGATCAAGCCGCCCGGGGCGATCTTCGAGGAGCTGACGAAAGGCGGCGTACTGCCGGCGGGCGCCGACTTCGAGATAATCCGGCAAAAGAGCGACGGTAGGCTGGAGGAGGTCGGCAAGGCGCCGATTCAGAACCTGCCGGCGAAGAAGGTGACGTTCGTCGTGCTGGAGGAGCAGCCGGACGGCAGCTACAAGGTGCAGGGGGTGAAGGGGAACGCCGAGAAGGAGAGCGGCACGGACGTCGAGTCGATCGTCGAGAGGATCAAGAAGGGCGAGCTGAAGCTGCCGCCCAGCTCGCTCAGCCCGACCACCCCCGCCGGCCTCGAGCAGCAATTCGAGTCCAGCGTCGAGCCGGTGACCATCCAGGCCAAGACGTCCCATCACTCCGCCAGCACGCCGCCCTCGACCTTCAGGCCTACCACCGTCAGGTCTACCCCGACCAGGTATAACGAGGGGTAATGAAGCGAAGATGAATCCTTCCTTCCGATTTTTCCTTCAAAATAATCTCTCTCTCTCTCTCTCTCTCTTTTGCGCGCGAACCTCACAGAAATGTATCATCGCTTTGATGATAAATTGGCCAGCAATAAATCATTGTAGCTCGGTAATTTTACTATTCGTACGAGTAATAAAATGATTGGACAACAATAATTTGTCTGTGAGGGGGTTTTTCGAAATTTTGAAATTACGGCTTTCCCTGGACTTCATAATTTCTCCGCAAGGAAAACAATTGATCGCCAAGTGTCGCCCTTTTAAAAAAACCGTTGAATTAACGCCTTTTAACATAATAAACGAACGAACGATCATACCGTTCTAAACATCAAATTTGCAGCAGGTCAACGACAACGGACTACTTCCCTTACGTCACGGTGTCGCCGAACTCGGTGTCCACCACCGACAAGTACGTGACCTCCGCGTCCAGCGTAACCGGCCACGTGTACAACACCCTGAACACCAGCCCGAAGACGAGCCTGTCGGACCACATACCGCGGGTCACCAGCAAATACTCGTCCACCAGGAGCCAATTCATCCCGACGATGGCGCCGGTCAACGAGATCGTGACAACGCCGACGACACCGCCGGCGACCTTCTCGCATCACACGACCACTTCCTACATCCACTTCTCCGCTAGCCCGACCACGGCTCTGTCGACGTTGAGAGCATCTCCCGGAACGTCGGTGTCCAGTTCGCCGAACGAGAATACCATCTACCAGAGTACCACGTTGTCGCCGACCGAGACCGTCAAGAGCCAGACGTTAGCGGAAAGTCTGGGTACCCTGCTGAGGAGAGATGGTCTCTTCGCTATGGCCAAGTACCTGAGACAGTCCGGGCTGGACAATGTGTTGAACGAAACTGGTGAGTTGTATTGTTGCGAGTGCGACCCGCTCGAAAGAGAATCGATTTTCACGGAACTTGGAGAGATGTGGTCGGACTACTTTGGAAAAAAGTCTAGCAATAGCTTGCATTCAGATTCATCCGGATGAAGATGAGATGAAAATCCGAAAAGTTCATCTTATTGTTAGATGAGATGAAGATGATTTTACTTTTGATTTATCTCGATGAAAGATAAGTAACGCTACTTATCTAGATAATTTTTTTAGATAATACTGTTTTCATGAGAGATTTTATAAGAATTTATAATAAGCAGATCATAAAATTAGAATAACATTCGTTAACGAATGCATTCGGTTAGGTGTTTCGGTGCAATATTTAGTAATCAGTACTAAATGCGGCGATAGTTGCCAACTGTTTGGTAATACGAATAATTATAAAATAAGTAGTAACAAACTATAAGTACTAACAAACAATATTTCATTAAGTTTAATCAATTAAATTAATTACTAAATTAACATTAAACGATTAAGATTAATAGAATGCAGCGTGGTAAGAAGTTCAATTTTATAAATTGTATTTTCTGTGTTCATATAACGAGATAATCCGTTCTAATATCCAATAATAAATTTAATATTATTATTGATAGTTTAATATTAATATTAATATAAATTTAATAATAATAATAATAGCAATAAGTTTAATATAATATCGATAAAGAGTCCTTCTTACATAATAGATTCGAATAATAAATTTGATTACTAAATTTACATTAAAAGATCAAGATTAATAAGATGAACATTGACAAAGTGTAGCGCGATAAATGTAATATTGCAAATTGCGTTCTCCGCATCGACGTAACGAGACAAATCGTGCACTATTTCTAATAAGATTAAACTTCGTAGATGATACACAGTTTCTTGTACAATAGATTTGAACGATAGACATCACGATTAAATTAATATTGAAAGCTTGAGATTGTCAAGAAGGAACGCGAAAAGTGGTAGGGTATAATTTTGCAAATCGTGTTTCCCGCAACAACTCGACCGCCGCGGGCACGTCCGACGATATTGCAGAGGCGCGATGATGACTTATATCAAAATTTTTTAGACCCGAATGATTGTACAAACGATCCCATTGGCCCGAGGTAGGCCGGCTTGCTTTGCACAATACGCCATTCGTATTTCTCGCTTCTCGGAGTCATGCAACATTCGTTGGAAAAATGTTCTCACGACTCGTCGCCCATTTCGCCACAGTCGCCTCATCCATCTTACGAGAACAAAGACGCGGTTTTCTCGTTACACGAGATCTCTAAAAGAAAAGCACACGATTTAATTGCTCCTTGTTAATGATCGGGACGACAGTACCTCTGATTTGTTGCCTCGATACCGCTTCGTGCAAGAAACGAATAACGCATCGCATTTTTGTAAGCAACTGTGAACTCATATTGATAACTATTACTTGAAATTTGTCTCATCGAGATATTCAGACTTAAGTTTACGGTTAAGTACGTGTTAAGGTAAGGCCTTGTAAAATCACGACGTATCGGACGAAGGATTCAGTTCAAGTTGAACTTCTTCGCGAATCGAACACACCGATCCTTTCACGCTCGACTTTACAAACGACACAAACGCGGCAGAGTTGACAGAGCGACTTGATTAATTAGCACCGTCAAAAATTCTCCCGTCGATCCTCCGCGAGAGATAAATTATCGCGCGCGCACGGAAAGTAAAAAGAAAGATTGGCGCTCTCTCTCTCTCTCTCTCCTTGTGCGCGACTTTATTGGCCGCGTTCGCACGCTCGTTAAAAACAAAAAGCGAGCGGCAGCTATTGCTTTCCTGTAATGGCGATTTTCGCAAGTGCCAACCGTCAGTTCCATCGAGCGCGCGATTGCAATTATTAATCTGCATCTGTACAGTTGTGCAATTTCCAGCCGCGTTCTCCTGCGATGACGTGCTTTTCCTTCAGTAAGGACGACGACGACGACGCTCGCAGGGCGATTACCGGACCTCGTGTGCGCATAATTAATGCACCGTACTTCGACAAGTATGCGAGATAATGTCCGACGAGTGAAACGTAATTATTGACACGGATATCAATCGTAAAAAAATGTTGTTTCCGCCGATTTAACAAGATATAGCGAAGATTGTACGTTTCTTCGCGTGCGATGAACGTTTCGCAAGGCAAAATTAATATAACGAGGTGGTATAAAGCCACGCAAATTGGCATAATGACTCATATGTGTCTCACAGAAGTCCCATAGAACAGGGAATATTTTATATCGTCGAGGCTCTCCGATACGCCACCAGGAAAGAATTTAACAACCCAATAAAGTTCGACGCAAGATACAACCCATATAGCACGGTGATATTTACAGCAATATCATATTTCCATTGCAATATTACAACTATATTAAAAATAGCATCGAAAAATAAAATCTAGAGAGAAATAATTGAATCGATTAAATATTTCGCGACTGACCGGTTTTTACGCGTAAAAAAAATATCATAGGAATATATCAAAGAAAAAGCTCGTCTGTTCCAACAGTAACTGAAATCATTCTAAGCGAAAAATGATGAACGAAATTATTCAGCAAATTAATGATCTATTAAATACATTAGCAAATTAATGATCTATTAAATACATTAAATAGTTTATAATGTTGCTAACAGGTCCATACACTATATTCGTTCCTACGGACAAGGCCTTCAGGACATTGCTGGTGCAACTGGGAGGACCTGAGAAGGCTGAACAGAAGTTCCAAGAAAACCCAAGACTTCTGAGTGGGGTACGAATTAAGCGCTTCATTATAATTCAAAACTAACGACGAGATCTTTCAACATCTTAATTAATCGTAAAATTAAAATTTCTCCCTGTAACTGTCGATATACCCAAAAGTATATATAAAATTAACATACCAGATAAAAGCTCGAACAGACTAAAAAAAAAAATCAAGTGATTTTAACTAAAAAAACACGATTGTCGTAGCGAATATTTAGGAGGTTAAAAATATAGAAATTAAAATTGAAGAAAATTTAGAAATTGCAATATCAGTGATTTGGAAATTTAGGATACGAAAGGTTAGAATAATTAATTTGGAATATTAATATTAAAAATTGAAATACTAAAAATATGATATGTAAAAAAACTCATTTTCTAATCTCTGTTCGCAGCTCCTTCTTCATCACGTGATACCGGGAGCTTTCAGGATCGATTCCCTGCAGGATGAGATGACCGGCGTTAGCCTCGCCGGGACACAATTGCGAGTGAACGACTACGCGATGCAGGATCACGAGTGGAACGACGTAAAGGTAATCCTGTACCTTAGAATTGTCCACTTTCGTGCTGGTAACTTCCCAAAGATCTCTCGTCTCACGTTCATTCCTTTATCTCTTTCTCCATCTCCTTAATTAAGCCTCTTCAATTAAATCGTCAATTTTGCATCATCGCCACGTCATTTCTATTTATCTCACCCTCCGCCCTCCTCGCCGGAGGAGGCAGACTTCTTCGAGGCCTGACTATAAATCACAAGTGCCTTGTGAGTCAGCACGATGCTATTTTTACGGACGCCTAGCGCGCCGACGCGCTCGTATTTGCGCGCGATCTAGTTTGTTGACCTTCGCGAATACGCTATAAATTTTCCATTCACTCGATGAATACGTTCGAAATTGCTCAATGCGAGACCCTTATCGTACCGTCACATCTCTCGCAGGATGTGCTTGTTTGCATATAATATATATGCTGTGTTTGCCTTGGATCATTTCAGACTCGTCTGGATGAAGATGAGACGAAGATCCGAAAAATTTGTCTTAAATGAGATGAAGATGATTTTGATTTATCTAGACGAATGACAGCGCTACTTATCTAGATAATGCTTCAGATGATATTGTTTTCATGAGAGATTTTATAAAAATTTATAATAAAAATTATGCAGATCACATAAAATTGCACAACGATTAAATAATTCGTCAATGTAATCGCTCTAAATTTAAGGGTCTAACAAAAAAGACCAATAATCGTTGACTGCTCACTAATCGTTTTCTCAACGCACTTATTATTTCAGTCATCTTCTATAAAGCCTATATCAGATTACTGATTGTGAAGGATGATCTGATGACTGGCGGTTACGACTGTCGATTCTTGAAGGACCTATCATAGTGAAGTGTCATGCATGTGTCTATTGTAATTAATCTATTAAGAGTTGGCAGTCGGATCAGCCTTTACAGTCGGCAGTTTGATACGGGCTTAAAGCGGATTGATCAATTGAAACAAATGGTCTGTTCTTTTCAGTTGCGCTGTTGAACTGGTGCAATAAGTTAGAATGAAACAAATATATTTTGTTTCGCTCTAACTTATTACACCAGTTCAGCAGTGCAGTTAAAAAGAACAGAGCAAAGGAAACAAAACCGAAATTGATTGATTCGTTGAAATCTAATCTCCAATCCTTAGTCTGATACAGGCTTAACGCATAGGTCCATATTATTTCATTCATTTATTGAAAAATGAGTTCAGATTATGGACCATTTCAGATGATCCATCGTTTCAGATAATTTTAGATAAGATAACGGGTTTTTTACCTAAGATGAAGATGAATATATTGTGTTTTTCTTCCATTTAAATAAAGGTAAAGATGATCTATTTATTTATCTGAATCATTATTTAAATAATTTTATCTACATACTGGCAAACACTGCACATAATATGTGTAAAAAGATCGAGAGAGCCTCGCAATTAGCTCCCACAAGTTCCCCGCGCGATCGTACGATCGTGAATTTCACTGGCAATCTTTCGCATTATTTGTAAATAAGGTGACGACGATAAACGGGGCACGCGTCGCGCCCAATAAACGAGACATCGAGATCCCTCAAGGTATCGCCCACGCCGTCGATCGGGTCATGTTCCCGCTCCCGGTCGGGGACTTGGTGCAAACGCTGCAGGCCGATCGTGAGAGGAGGTTCACCACGTTCCTCAGAATACTCCACGCGTCGGGCTTGGAGGACACGCTCACAGGCAAGTTGAAGCCGACAAAAGCGTTGTTGCATGACGTAAAAAGAGAAGAATCGATTTATTTTTAACCGAGTTGAGAAAAATCAGAATTTCCAAATAATCAAAGTAGTAGTTGGTCCGTGAAACCGTTTCCTTAGGAATTCTTTTAAATGTTAATTGTACAGATTGTTAATTAATTGTATGATGAGAATGATATATCAAAGTTAGAAAATAAAAAATTCTGTACTCTACGGACCAATTACTTGAAAATTATTTTTTTTTCTTCAAAATGACTGATGTCATTATATCGAATCAATATTCAAAATTAAATTAATCTCACGTTTAATTATTGCTGACGAATTTGGCTAATCATGTTGAAGTACTCGCGACTGCTTCTATCTTCAGTGTTTCATCATTAATTACTCTTTTGTAGGACCGAAGCCATTTACCATCTTCGCGCCGACTGATTCCGCTTTCACCGACGCGTCCACGAAGAACGGCGCTCCAATTTGGACCGAAGAGGACGGCCCGGACGCAGCGAAAACGATAATTTCGAAGCACGTGATTCCTACGACGCTCTACACCGCAGGAATGAGGTATTACATCCAAAAGGATACCCTCCGCCCGCAATCGCCGGTTCATATCCACAAAAACAGCGGTGAGTGATGTAAACTTTCTCTACTTTTTGTTTATACTTTCATCGTTAGGCCCGATAACAGAGTCCGTCTGAATAATAATTTTGCCGTCTGAAACAGCAATATTAAAATAATTAAAAGAATTTTGAACGTTAAAATTAAAAAAAAAACAATTTCTAATGATTCTGAAATATTAGATGTACAAATTAATTCGGTGCTTTTTTCATGAAATTCGTTTATTTACACAAAGTACAAGTTTAATGTTCGAAATAATTTTCATTAAACTTACTACTTGACTTTCTGTAAATAAACTTTGGATTTTTCATGAAAAGAAAAGGCATCGAATTAATTTGTATACCTGATAGATATCCTATTAGAATATTCGCCTTAACAGATGGCTTCTCGGTTGATTCAATAACGCGCACGTTATCGCGTTTCAGGACGAGTACGGGTGAACGAGGCGCACGTCTTGACGCACAATGTGCCGGCGACGAACGGAGTGCTGCACGCGATCGACGGTATCCTGTAAAGGTTTATACGTGAACGCGAATCAACGATCGAATCGCAGCGACCATGCAGCTGATATTATCTGTAATATTGAGACGTATACAACAGTTTCTCAGACCGAGAAACGCCGATGTACGCGTCAGCGAACGTGAAGATACCTGCGTAGGTGCGACCGAATGCACGACTATTCAATTGGCGAAACGTATCCGATTCAATCGGCAGCAGCAGAGTGTCCAGTTCGCGTATTCATCGCGCGACGTGCTCGTCGCGCGCTCGCGTCACGATTGGATTCCTATCAAATCGTTTAAATTAACGCGTTAATGCCATAGATGTGTCCGAAGATTAAAGCGGGGTCTACAATGAGAATTTAACGCGTAAGATTTAAGAAACTGACCAATCATAATTGGTTTTTCCTTATAATTCGACTGATTGATCAATTTCTTAAGAATTACAGCTTAAAACATCTATTGTAGACCGGGACTAAAGCGGGGTCTGCAATGTTTTTTAAGTCTGCAATGTGTTTTAAGCTTTAAGCCTTAGAAATCGATCAATCACTATAGATTATTCTTCTATAATTAGATTGTGATTGGTCGATTTCTTAAGGCTTAAAGCATCTGTTGTAGACTAGAACTAAGAGCTAAGCACGAATAACGACTTCGAATCACCTTCAATGTACGCACGTGTATACATACTAATTTATACGAGAGACAGGCGAAATATACATATATAAATATATACATATAATATATATATACGATTCGTGCGCGTGCCATGTGCACAATACGAAGAATTAATCGCTGTATTGTATAAAGTGGTAACGCAACATATGCTTAGTATTATCTCGTAGCTTGTATTATTTTATAAATAAAAATGTACAGAATATATTCTACAATTATTTACAGGAATATCCCCCCCCCCTCCTCCCGATACCTTTAAACGCTCTTATGGATAGACGATTAACATCCTTTCGCGCAATAAATAGCAATCATCTTAGAGAATTATTACGACAGTTCATTCAATATATACAATATATCGGAAAGATCGCCTTCAATGAGCGACCGACGATTCGTACTCATGAAAAAATTTGAGACGAGATCGAGGGTGACTTTCATTAAATTTTGATTGATTTAATCGATAAACATTAACAATGATTGCCAACACCGAGTACCCGGTTTGATAACTTGTCGTTCGACAATAACCGTGAAGTTGTTCACCTCAGTGAGAAACTTTTCAAGTATATAGTGAAGACACGTTGATAAGTGATACTCATTCTTCGACGGTTTTCCGAGGCCTCCAGCTTCAGGTTTGACACCTTTCTTAACTTCTCAACCATGTTTATACGGAACGATGAAGTTACACAGATTTTTGAACTTTTTCATGCAAAGTGATATGATAAAACAGTCTTACGCACAAAACCTATATTGTTTCTTTTAATATTAAACAAATTTTCTACGTTTTTCCCGTCGAAGAGGGTCGAAACACGACGACCGAGACGTCTGTTCGAGTATACGACTTAAAAAACATCTAACACTTTTATTTTGCGCATCTCGCATTTTGCACATCTTGTATCGACTTTTATTGGCAAATATAAATTATATTTAGTAAATCATCCTTATAAAATAGCTGTCAGTCGAGTAATATCTGTATTCATCTCGCATTAACTCGGATAAAAATGAGTAATTTCCTGATTGTCGTTGAACGACAAGCTTCGGGCAGAAAATTGGCACGCGTCGGCGGCTCTTATTATTATTATTATCTTTATTATTCATCGACCGGTTTACTTTTCCGAATTCAACGAAGGTCACCTCGAGTTCATTGGAAGGTCTAATAATTTGTCTTGTATTTCTTAATCTCCACCATGATATGATGGATATTCGTGAGCTGAGTGCGCGCACTGGCAGGCAGGATCTTGTGAAGACGATGGTAATACTGGACCAGCTGCGTCATCGCGCGTTGCACCAGCATACCGCCGAGTACGAGGCTGGGAAACGAGCGCAGCACCTCCCTGTGTATCTCCTCCAACGCCCGTTTCCAATTGTTCGTGAAGGACTGCACGAGGGCCAGCGCCTTCCCCTCCTGTCGCTTCAGGTCGTCGGTCAGGCCTTTCTCGAGCAGGACCTCGGACTCCTTCACCAACTGTATGATACCGCCGAAGTGCGGGCTCAACACCTCCTCGACGAACTCGGAGGAACACGTATTCAATTGCTCGCGGAAGCTCTCCGCTTCCTTCGAATTATCCCGCGTCCTTTCCTGCGGTAACGCATGCATAATATCTATCTTAGAGATAGGTGAACGTAAACAAATCTTCAAAATTTACACATTTTGTTAACTGTGCAAAAGTGTTATAAATAACCAAATTAAGAAAAATGCGTTTTTTTTTTTTAAGGGAAAATACATTTTCCAGCGACTTTGCTCAAATTTAGGTTAAAAATTATATATAGGGTTTTTCGAGGTCGCTGATTACGAATCTGACGTCAGAATTAGAAGATTTTCAACATCAAAGATCTAATATGGCGAATCGAAATTGCAGCAAATCAAGCAATTCTCTTCAAACGTGGTATGTAGAGGGTTTTTGGGTTAATTACGAATTGTGGGGTCGAAATTGAAAAATTACAAAGTGCACTTCAAAGAGTTAACTTCTTCCCTACGACAGCTCTATTGTCGGAGTTGAACGATAATATACCGATTGCTAGAATGACTCGACAGTTGGACACGTCACAATTGAGGTACTTCATCAGCATACATATTAGGTGTACAAATTAATTCGGTGCCTTTGCATTTAATGTCTCTGTAACTGCTTCGAATTTTAATCTTTTTCCCCGTCCTATGGTGTTTTTGTGTCAAGTAACATTTATCTTACCATTAACACACCGAGCACCAGATCGCAATTGTTGATGTGAAACACCAATTGCTGCGTTCTGCTCGGAAAGATGGCCGCCATCCTGAACAGAAAACACTGCACGGCTTCCCTCAGTTCCGCCAACAACTGAGTCGCCCCTTCGCAGGGGAATCCCTCGACTATGCTAACCATTGCGGCGCTGAATTCCGCATATCTCCTGGTGATCTGGAAATCCAAGATTTAGCAAAAATTGTTCGAATTATAATAATTATAAATATATAATATTGCTATGTGGCACGATAACAATACTGTGAATAACGAGAAAAGATTTCGGACATCCTGTATAGGCGCTTACATAATGCGGCCCGGTCTCCTTGCTAAATTTAACCGGATCGCACGTTTTTATACTCTGAATATTCCTCTGAAATACGTAATCAAATCTGAAACGCGAAGATAATTAGATTTATATTCTAACATATTGTAGAATATCAAGGCAATTGTTACAATTATTTCTGTATGTAAGCACGCCTACCTGGGCCAAATTATAGCCGTCAAGGTCTCCCAATGTTTGTCCAATGCTGGCACGGCTCTTTTGTGACACGTCAACTGGTAACGCATCACCAGATGCCAGCAGAGGAACAAGGCAATCGTGTCGTAACAATCGTCGACGAACGATTGTAAATTCTTAATCATAAGATTCAACGTTTTACCCATAACCTGTCAAGCAAACGTAGATTTAGATTTATCTGTCTATTAAATCGAAAAGTTTTCGGTTTTCGACTTTTGAGTCTAATAATCTTTCACTAATGTTTTTTTTTAACATTCGTGCAGATCAGATGATCCATTTAATGTCGAAAAAAGTAGAATATCGAACTTTTTGATTGACCCAACATTACGTAAATTAAATAAATAAGAATATTGTTACTTTACCTGATTAAAAATATCTAAGGCCTGTGCATTGCGGACTTTAAAAAACTCGGTTAGAAACAGATATTCTCTGCAAGCATTGTCGACCAAAGCGTACTGTTCGCTTCTGAACAAAGCTTCGTAATGATACTGCAAAATTACAATTAGTATTAATTATCCGACATATTTTTCAGAGAGAATACAGATGTATTTATGCATATATATTTATATATTTACTCGCGTTTTGGAGGCAGTGTGTGGGACAATAATGGGTGCTTCCAATTGAGAGGACAAAACCTCACCCCTCGTATCTATAGAAAAAACAGTCCCTTTATGCTTCAACGTTGTTTTGTGAAACATGCTTCTGCCTGCTGTATCTTCGACTCCCATTAAATCGTCCTTCGACGCTTTCTCCTCAAACTTGCGAAGATAAACATTTTTATTGCGACATTCTTTTCATTATATAAATATTACTGATTACCTCGTCTTGCTCTATTACCTGCAATTTTATCAATCTTGACGAATAAGACTTAAAGTAGGAGTAATATATCTTGCTCATCGTATCGATATATTCTCCGCAGATCTCCTCTGCCACGTTCCTCTCATTCGCCATGATAAATTCAAAGAAGAACTTGTACTTCAGCATGTTATTCTGCGGCACTTGATAATTTGTCATCGGTTTTCGGAACTTATAAATTTGCTCCAGTAAGTAAGTTCTAATTTTTGCCATTGCTTTCACCTTCAGTTTCTCTAATATATCCTTCACGTCGAGACAGGACTTTGCCTCCTTGAAACTTTGCTCCTTCACAAAGTTAATCTTATGATTGAGAGTTTGCAGTTGAATTAAGAATTCTTTCTCGGTCACGGGACAGTCCATAATACCTCTATTCACAGAAATGCAATGCATGTTGCTATAGATGTCTAAGTGTGTTTCTATAGTTTCTATGGATATCTAAGTAACAGTTTCTCATTAAGTATTTGAGAAAAAAAAACTTACGCGATCAGACTTTCGGCCACAGTCATATCCTCGATGAACTGACTAAGCGGACCACGTATCACCTGTCTGTTGGACAACTGTTGGCTCATAGCAACAGATTTGCGTTGCAAGGACAGAATCTCTGAGCTGATACTGCCCAGGTCTGACTGAAAGCTCATTAACATTGATTCCATTTTCTGCAAGAGACACAAATTTCTTTGAAATCTTATAAAATACTCTCGTGACAAATTTTTGCTCATTATAAGCATCATTTTATATCGGAATAAATAAAAAAGTTATAGATTACATTCTTATTCTTAATATTAACTTAAATTCAAAATAAAACAACCTATATATATATATATATATATATATATAATATGCAACATATAATAATAGGTAATGTTAATATTAAAAATTTGTCATTAGTATTAGAAATATAACCTCCAAAATGTTGTCACAAGCGGCGATCTGATTGTGCAGGCTAGCTATATTTTGACTTTCCTTAATATAATCTTCGATCGACTTGTTTTCTACTTCTTTCAGCTCTTTTTCGATTTGCCTGGAATACTGGCGCAAATCGGTGCCAGTTTTGAGAACTTCTTGAACGACATCGTCGCCGAGATCTTGAGGCAGTTGTTCTTCGTTATTGTCGAAAACATCAATTTCAGCCATATCCTCCGATACTTTTTTTTATAAATTCATGCGTGTTAATTGGATAACTAAGTAATTATTTCGCTTCGGAAACACAATCACATTTTCGCGTACAAGGTAAACAGAAATAAGTCCAACTCACAGCGTGCGGTAAAGTTAGGTTAGGGCTCTACATAAACCTGTGACCTATTCTTTTTAGCTGCATTGCTGAACTGGTACAATAAGTGAAATGAGAAAACATACATGTCTTACTACACATATATATTATTATTATTATAAAATTATGTGATTATATTATTAATATTCTCCCTCTAAGCGCGTAATATTATTTAATATCATTATAATATCATTAATATCATTATATAATATTCTAAGCATATTCTTAGAAAGAATATCAGACGTAAGATTCTAAAACCCATATCGGACTACGGATTATGGATTAGGATTGCGGATTGGGGATTGGAAATCGACCAATGAAATTACAGCAGGTCTGGGTTGAAATCGTAAATCATTGGCCACGTTAAATAGAACGTTAATTTGCAACTGTTGGAAGTTTTCTGAGCTGAGATTGGATTATTCTTTTAGATCTACAGAAATAATCCAATGTCAGCACAAGAAACTTCCAACCCAGAGAAAACTATATATATATATATATATATACATAAACATAACTTTTTTCTCTGGGGAAAATTCATAAAAGATTTAGGGAAATTCAGCTTGAGCGATCTGGCAACCCTGGCTTCACCCAGTTATTCATATATCTACGGGCGAATTGTTGCCAGGACATCTAAGCTTCAAGATCACTCGAAATATTTTATATCCAAATTATTACGTTAACAATTATCGCAAAAAAATGTTACATATAATAACGAAACGTGTACCATTGCGGGTATGTATCAGAAATAATTGATCCTTATTTGAATATTACTATAATTTAGTTCATACCCTTCGACTCCTCTTTCTCGAGAATGCGATTATTATTGTTGTTTTCAGGGAACGATGATTATTACTCAACGGATGTTCGGTGCGCAAACTTCAAACGGAGCTGCTAGTCAACCTGCCGTGAACATCAACGTTCAAGGTCTCAGTGAGAATTGTGTCAAAGTCCCAAATACTCGTAAGTCCAGATATTGTCATAGTATGTTTGTAACAGAATTGAAATTCTGACTTTTTAAATTTAAATTCACACAGCTGTGGGACCGAATGCTGCAAAGCAGGAAGAATACAAGAATCCTGAGTATTTCTGCTATCATGTGGACACAATCGGAGAGGCTGAGGTAGAATTAGAAAAATATAGATTACCAGTGCCGTCTAACAGGAGGTAGTTTCACAGATAGAGAAATCAGGAGAATGAAGTCATACATTGGTTAAGTTCCTCCAGCTTGTTTTATGCTAAATATGATTGTAGACATCATCAACTGTTTGTAGTCAAATCTTGTATTTAAGACTGTCTCAAATTCATCTTTAAATGCTTCGTAGCTGATGAAACAACATCCACACAACATCTGAATGTGAACTTGAAGTGATTTTAAATATAAAATGTGACTGTAAATACTGTTCTCTATAATCATTCAACTTGGCTTCTTGGCTCTGGCAACTTGGTTCGTTTTGAAGTATTTCTAAGCACTGACATGATTTTGAATTAAATGCATAATTCTTTGTTTATATTTGTTTTATCAGAAGAAACAGTGAGGAAAGTTTAGCTGAGATGAATATAATATTATTACTTGATGATATGGTTACCAGAGTTGAAAGAATATGTGATTAGATGGCTGTGTTTAACAGAAAAGGCAGTTTAGTAAGCGTCTTTTGCTGCACAGCTTTATAACTTTATAATTATACGTTGTAAGATCTGCCGAACAACATTAGTAGTTTATGTTTCCCCAATACGTTTACCAAGCACTTACTAGTTTTTCCATTTCCATTTTTTGTTTCTTTATATCGTTTTACCCACTTCCTAACGAACTGTGACGACTTATGCAGGTATATAGCAGCACTTGCAAAACTCATTTTTGGCTTTTTTGAGTGCTTACACAGGAAAACCGCCTCAAACCGTTTTGCATATGCAACACTCATCTCTGAAGCTTTGTTTTCTTTAATGACGCAAACATATCTGAAGAAGCTGAAAGAAACTGAGCTAATGCGTATTCGAGAGGACTGTATACATTTAGATTATCGTAGTCTCGCTTTCATTAAGTGTCAAGTTTTAAAAATGTTGCCAACACGCGCTTGTGTGTCACATAGACTGTGCATATAGTGTGTGTGTGTGTGTGTACTTCATGTTCAGAAACATAAACAAATTTAGTTTATCATTTAACATGTGTATCATTTAACATGTGTATCACTTAACATGTGTATATGTATTTTATTTACGAATGATGTAATACGTGGTGTTGTTTCAGGCTGCGTTCCGAAATTTACTGCCAGTACTAAGCAGGGTTGCCAAATGGCTCAAGCTGAATTTTTCCCCAAATCCTTCATGAACTTTCCTCAGATTTCCCCAAAGAAAAATGTAGATGATTGGGGGGAGGGGGGGAGGGAATAAAAGAAACCATATTCGACAATATCGTTACCGACCATTACCGACGAACCATAAAAATATACGATACGTAAAAAATAGAGAATATAATTTTTATCGTCTCAAAAATGTACATATGATAATCCTATCTAAAACTATATATATATATATATATATATATATATATATATCAAAATATACTATTAACGAATATCACACTTACTATAAGACATTCTGCACACATACACATGCACACATATATATGTATATATCAGATTTTTATCAATAGGGGCGTTCAACGAACTCAATAGTTGCGCAATAGTCAAGTAATTCGTCAATGTATAATCGGTGGGTCCCTCAAGCGTGCACGATCGGTTTTAAACCGCCCCCCTCCTTTTCCTCTCCCTCTACTGCTCGTCCTGATAACTCCGTCATGCATTTCGTTACATTTTACCCGTTTATGATTTCTCGCTCTGGGAAATTCTCGCTCTTCGATACAAGAAAAAAAGAAAAAGAGAGGGAAGGAGGGGGAGAGAGAGGCGTCCAGCCGAGCGGCTATATGTTCGCGCGCGAGGCACTCCGACAGTCGGAAGTCGCTCTCTCGGCAGTAGCGTACGCTTCGTCGTCGGGATTCACCTTTTTATCTCTCCTTCCCTTCGTTTCTCCTGCGTAAAGTCGCCCATCACGTCAGACACACACACACACAGACAGAGTGGACGTGATTGTGACTTGCGTGAATACGTCTCGGCTCGGCTTAATTCACCTTTAGTTCGCAATTATCGCGTGTGCTTTCGGTGTGCGAACTTCTTAACGGATTGATCGAGGATTCTTGCCCGCTTCGTCGGCCCGTGAATATACGCACGAGGCGGGGTACGTGAGCAGGTGTATCACGAATATGTCGTCAGTCGCGCGAAACCGGCTGTTGTCGGCACTCGGCGTCGCGCGGCGTCACGTCGCCGTCGTCGCCGCCGCTGAGCGCGCACACGTCGCGACGGACGTGCAGCACCGCGCGTGCTCGACGCACGAGAGGAATGTGACGTACCGGAGGTGAGAGTTTGCGCATCCGGATGACCTGTGTTTTTCGCGCGGATTCGTGTAACCGGGCGAAGCGTATCGCAAAATGCACGCCGAACAGATATTTGTTCTTCTTAACTGAACTGGCTGCTTTAATTGGAGAAATTCGCATGCACGTTAGGTTTGTTTGTTCCTCGTGTTGTTGCTTGTACTTTTCGTATGTAGAATGAGGCGGACGGCGGAAACGAGAGAGAGAGAGAGAGAACGAAAAGCAACGATGACCATGAAATACGAATGAGAACCGATTGACGCATATGTGTGAAATTATCACGTTTCAGCATGCGCAAGTTTCTGGATTTCTGATGTAGCCAGTTCAGCCAAAAGCGTATCTATAAGCACCTAATATATCCAGAATATTATATAAATATTATGCAATATTAAAATAATATTCTTATAATATTCTAAGAATGTTATATGTAATATTTTTTTAATATTAGAGGGATGTCTATTGATGTTATACATCCACTTCACATAATATTCTTACATATAATTGTAGTTTTTTATTTCAAATATGTATTGCAATACCAATTATTTTATTATGTGGATAACGTCGAAATAATTTTGTGTAAAAATATGTTTTATATTTAAAAAATTATAATAAAATAATAAAAAATAATAATAAAATAGTAATAATAAAAATAAATAAATATATATATATATTTATTTATTTATTTATTTATTTATTTATTTATTTATTATACATACATAGAATGGAATATTTAAGAAGTATATAATATTAAAATATCATTGAATAATATTATTTTTTAAATCTTATTAGGAGTGGACATATAACCATCTATTAATATTCCGCATTTATAGGGAAAAAGCAGACCAATTATTTTCCGTTTATATTGCACATGTATGTACACACACACACACACACACACACACACACACACACACACACACACAAGGGTGAAATGCAATCAGAATTTATTCTGTTGTTAGGAAACCGATTGAAAGTTTTTATCTAGTATAACAAGGATCAAGGTGGGCTTTAAGATGATCTTAAACCTTCACCCGACTTTTTTATGCGTACACTCGGTCAGTTGCAATAGTTTTTTTTTTACATGTCTAACTTTTTTGTACATTCTAACTTTTTTGTTTCTAAATTATTTGTAGATATCTATACTATTATTTAAGCTAAGCGTTTTCTTAAGATGTTTGCATATTTTACTTGGTTAAGTCGAAAGGTCTCACGGCACAAATCTCCATACCAGATAGAACAGAGCATTTGTATGTTAGACTCCGCATGAATTATTGATATTTTCTAATACCTTACACGGGGACGTTTCAGTTGAACTACTGATATTTCCTAGCCGAAAATAATGACGAATACGTAACGAGCAACTAGATCAACATTTTCTTATATATTTATATTTATTGCACATCAAAATAAGTTAGCACTTCGCTTTATTTCAGCTAATTTTTAACAAATTTGTCAGGCTAAAGGGAGAGGATAAATTTACCAATAAGTATCAAAATAAAGATATCACCAATGTTTCACTAATTTATTATAAAAAATTGAGTGTACGAAAAATTCTGTAAAGAATTTATAAAACATTATTAAGTATCCTTGATAAACCGATAATATTACGATGTATCGATTCCTAATAGTTTGTTTACAAATCGTTTACAAATGAATTTTTCCGACGAAAAAATGTTTTTAATTTTTATTTGTTTCCAGCAAGTTAATAATTAAACTATATGGTATTATATATAATATATATATAAATATTTGAACTATATAGTATTTATCTTTACTTCCTTATATTCTTGAGAATGCGTAGTAATAACATAATCGACTATGACTGCCTAGAAGTCAGTTGAAATCATTGAAAATGAAGGAAACGTTAGTGGGACAACGCATGTCTCGCGTATGACGCAAAAGGTCGAAGTGATAAAATGTTTTAATGTCGTGAAATAAAAAAACGTATACTTTATGAACACAGAATATTACTTACGAATATTTAGAATTGTTTAAACTTGTTATTTGCAAGTAGATATACATGTATATCATCGCCAAGATGATATCAGTCCGCGCTAATAAACTGCACTGATATAAAATGTAGAAATATATATTCAAATTAGAAACGCTCAGCGGCGACACCTGCGCGATAATGATCCGTTGTTGATTCTTCACATTATATATATATTTCGAACGGTAATACCATTGACGCAATACTATGAACGTGTGCCGGAATAAACAGCTTCATTCGACGAAGGTCGATCGACTAACACGATTTCCCTGCCTTGCAACTTTTTTGTTAAGATCTATGAATATCGACTTGCTGAAAAAACTGCGCTATGCTTGTATATTCCCCCAATACGCAAAAATATCGAATATCTTCTCCGAAATTTCCCGAGAATTTCTCGTATTCTATATTTAGAAAGAAAAAGCAACCTCAAAGATGGAATCTTAGTATAATTTAGAAACGTAACGTTTCAACGAGAATAGATCGAGGTTATCCGCAATAAGGATATACGACGATGACTCTCGAAACACAATACCGTCCTTTTTTATGCAAACGACTTAAGTTAACAATAGGTGCATGATTTACACACATCAAGTTATCTGCCGTGACGCAAGCCTTTTTATCCTTTCCTTTTAATTTTTTTTTTTTTTGAAAATCTTGCATTCACTTCGGATACTATCCGATAGTTCGGCTCCAACTTCGAATCCATATGTATGAATAATTTCCTTTGAATTTTTTTCCTCGAGCAAAAAAAATGTTTTCCTTTAAATCTTGAATAATCTGATAGCTCAGACCTTAATCTTGGATTTCCTATGAATATAACCTATGTAAACGGAGTATGTATGAAGCTGATGTCTTCGTGAAAATTCATAAACTATTGAAAGTTATGGCTTCCTTTTTAATAGCTGTAGAGTTCGTGATAAACAAATAGTGTTGCTCATTAAAGCAGGAAATAACCGGACAACTGGTCGCCAGGTTCACGCTGCGTCTCACTTTATCTCCCAAGTGTTCCCTTGACGTTAGATGCAAGATTTCAAAAGATTTAAAGTTTTACAAAAGTTCTAAAAAAAAGTTCTAGCAACACATAGCTTTTTCAGTATTTAAATAATTTTTATGCTCCGAAGAAAATATATTTGCAGCTACAAAAGTGAGACGGTGGTCGAAATCTCAGAGTTCTCGTTCATATAAAATACTTTTCGTCTAGTTCTGGACATATCTAAGTATTTTCCAAAGAGTTCTAGGCATTGGCAGTGTTGTACGATTTTTAAATAAATAAAAACTGGGCGGCTGATGAATCCCATCCGGGAAAAACTTAGCTTTAACTCGATAAAGTCATCGATGCTTCTTCGGATGCCTCGTCGACTGTTTTTAAAATGCGTATCTGCCGGATGTTGAAGCGATCGAAATAGGTGGTAATCCGGGGCTAAATCTGGCGAATAAGCTGCATGAAGGAGAAGTTTTGCAGTTTAATATATAGTTGAGATCCTTCGTCCCTTATCGCGCAGTTGAATATCACCTGTCTAGTTTCGATATATCGCAAACGACATATATCGTTATTGTCGTCTACCGCTCGTAATGATGATCCGATTTGTTTGTTAATCTCCTCAGGACGTTGAACTATAGTTTAAGAACGGCTCATTCCATAACACAACCGACATGGGTGACAAACAAGGATGAGAGCCGCGAACTGATGGCTGTGTGGCCGGACATTGTTCGGGACATCACAGAAGCCAGCCAACATTTGGACATTCCAAATATTAGCAAGTGGATAGCAAAGGTAAAGCCATCGTTGATTGAAAAGATGTAGATCGGAAGAGATCGAACCGGTCAATTGGACAGAGTATCGAAAGAGTGGAAATTGATTTCCATTGAATTTGAAGGTAAAAATTTGTATAGTAAGAACAAACGCTAGGAATTTATCCCGACCGATTGATAGTACCAATTTTATCGGAATGGTCAGAAATTACGATATATATACACTGTACATAGGGTGATTCAAAACAACCTTATCGTTAAAACTATCATTAAAACTACATAATCCTGACTAAATTTTGAGATAATTTTTCATATCGCAAAATTTATATACTACTACACACACACATACATATATATATATTATTGTTTTCAGCAACTTTCTCTGCACTTCCCGGCATTATAAATATTATTTTTCTCTTTCATATACAGCAAGAAACACTGTGAAGTTAGTTTTTTTTTTTGGTTTCGGCGCAGGACTAATTTTAGCCATTTTATATACCTTCCTTTGTATATCTTTTCTACAGGTGTTACAGTATAATGTTCCGGGAGGTAAGAAGACTCGCGGTTTAGCATTAGTCTACGCTTATAAGATGCTGGCACCCAATGATCAAATCACGCAGGAAAACATTCGTTTGGTGCGGATTTTAGCGTGGTGTGTGGAACTGGTGCGTAATTCTTCTGTTTTCTCTTCTTCGCCTGCTTCAAACAAATCAATACCGAATCAATTGAAGATTAACACTTTGCGGTCCACCCGAAGACTAATGTGTTTGGACTTATCGAAGGCATAATATGAAATTAGCCGCGCTTATTTGGTTGATTTTCTTTTTAAACAAATTTTTGATATCTAAAAAACTAACGTATTCGAAAAAGCTGTCAACTGTGCTGTCAGATCGCCTATACCATTCGAATTGATAATTCGAAATTTTGCGTGTTGCAAAATGGTATAGGACTTTTTTGCTCTGTCTTCCACCCGTTCTACTTGCACATCACGGGAACCGAGATTAGTTTGGGACATCCCGTATAAGTCCACGATTCTCGTTTTAATTTTGGATATGCTTTCTCGCGCAGGTACATGCCTTTTTGCTCGTAATCGACGACATTCAGGATCAGTCTTTGTTCCGTCGAAATCAGCCGTGTTGGTATCTGCACAACGATATAGGTTTAGCCGCAATAAATGACGGTATTATGATAGAGAGTATTATGTATCAACTACTTCGGAAGCATTTCAGTGGGAAAGACTGTTATATTGACCTGTTGGAAACATTCCAGGATGTGAGTGACAGATGTATATCTCCCTCTTAATGATATACTTCAATGAAACTGCCAGTTCACCTATCTCATCTTTTTCCTTTTAATTGAACGATCATTCATGAAAATGTTTTTCGACAGATCATCTTGAAAACTATCATGGGCCAGTCTTTGGATTTGCAGTCGACCAACTTCGGCAAAATGCCGAACCTGAATCTGTTCACGATGGATCGTTACAATTCTATCGCCAACTATAAATCGTCATATTACACGTTCATCTTGCCGATAACTGCCGCGATGCATTTTGTAAGTATATTTTGTAAGTAATTCGAGTCTCACGCACCAAGAAATTCCGATTCTTTCTTCGATTGAACTGTTTTTCATGATTAAACGAATCTCGAACGATTTTATTTAACGGTATACGTAATAGCAAGTCTTGATACTGACCGTTTTTTGTTGTTTCAGGCCGGAATAAAGGATCGAGAGATGTTGAGGCAGGCGAAGACAATTCTGCTGGAAATGGGACACTTCTTCCAAGTACAAGACGACTATTTGGACTGCTACGGCAAGCTTGAGGTCATTGGTAAGGTCGGTTCCGATATAGAGGAAGGAAAGTGCACGTGGCTGGCTGTAGTCGCTCTTCAACGCGTCACACTGGAGCAACGGAAAATTCTAGAAGTGAGCATAAAGTTTACCAATCGATTTTGTCCGGTATTTTTTAAATCTCTTCGTAAATTCAATATTTTTATAAAAGAAAAAAAGGAAATCCGGTGAAATAGTTAAAATAGCTAAATTTATAAATATCCTATCATTTTCTTGAAAATTGTCGCTATCGTATATCAATCGTTTCTCTTTTATTATCGCAGGAATGTTATGGCTGTTCAGATCCGGAAAAGATAAAACGGGTGAAGCAGCTTTACAACGATCTCGGTCTACCGAACATGTATTCCATATATGAAGAAGAGACATACAATCTACTGAATACTCACATACAACAGATATCACGTGGCCTCCCGCATGGTCTTTTCCTAAAAATATTGGAAAAGATTTACCGTAGGCAGTCATGAAAGCTTCTTTTATATATTGAAGGCACAGGCTGATAAATTGATATATGGTGTGTGTGTGTGTGTGTGTGTGTGTGTGTGTGTGTGTGTGTGTGTGTGTGTGTGTGTGTGTGTGTGTGTGTGTGTGTGTGTGTGCGTGCGTGCGTGCGTGCGTGCGTGCGTGTATGTGCGCGTGTGTGTGTACACACCATTTATCAATTTGAAGTTATTAGAAGACGTGTTGTGCCAACATCGAAAAATATTGAACTATTTTATGTTGTAAATCATTTCTACTGAATTCTCTCTGAAAATATCTACAAATATTTCAATAATATTGATAATTTCAGATATTTTTTAAACTTCTATATATAAGAAAATATATCACGTTTATTAAGAAAAATATTAATAAAGATTTGAAAAATATTCCGTATTGTGTCGCATATGTTTACAATTTCCTCTTAATTTTATTTTACATAAACATCTATATATTTTTCTCATGAAATTGCGTAACTCTTATTAAAACATTACAATTTTTCGTAAAGAAAACATTCTTTATAGAAACAGATAATCATGTGAAATAAATTCGCGAACTTACGTGCATATACAAAAACTACAAATAACTTTTATCAGATTTATGAATAAGTTCCTGCGGTTTTTTTTTTCGAAAACATATTTATTAATATATTTATTAATATATTAATATAAGAGAAACGATGTGATCATTTTTCAAGCAAAATATATGTCTTAAATCTATCACTTTTTACCATTTTTCAAACAGGATAAGGATGTCGCGACAAAAACATCGTTCTGTCGAAGCGATAAAGTCCATTATGAATTATTGTAGCCACAAAGCGAGATTTACAATAAAAATTTAAAATGTAAAATTAAAAAATTGACCAATCATAACAATGACGTTTTTTCTATAATTCGACTGTAATTGACCAATTTCTCAAGTTTTACGCCTTAAATTTTCATTGTAGACCCCGTTTAAACCCTGGTCTACAATAAGGGTGCGTTCTTTTATTCAGCGATTTGATCATTCAACAGATGCAGCTAAATCTCGTGGATGTATCAAGATTTCATTTTTTTTAATTACTTACTAGGAACATTAATGTTCTTAGAAAACACATTCTTCTATTGGCTATCGGATCGTTGTATTTCCGAAATTGTACCCGGTCACAGTTTAACTACATACAGTTGCGACAGTGCTAGGAAATTGAGGGCTCGATTTTCTTTTGCGCATGCGTGGTTGTACAACCAAGAATATGGCGGATTGTCATATGAAGTCTGTTCTGTTTAGCTACACTGCTGAACTGGTGCAATTAGTTCGAGCGAGATAAAATATATTTGTCTCATTCTAACTTATCGTACGAGTTTAGTAGTGCAGCCAAAAAGAACAGACCTATAGCGATACCGGTGAGTGACAGAACAGCTGAGTGTATAACACATTTAAAAATATTTATACTATAATTGTAATACAAAATGAATGCAAGAGGTGGTATCTCGTGTACGTTTGTTACATGCAAAAATATTTCTAGACGAAGAGAAAATGAAATAAGTTCTTTTCGATTTCCGAAGGATAGTGAAAAGTATGTTAAGGTTACGTAAAAAGTGATCACATATACACAATGATATTAATATTTATAGATCTTAAGAGCTTGTAAATAAATAATTCTAATTATTGTGATATTCAGTATGTTCTTTGCATGTGATGTATGGAACTCTCAAGTCCTTGAAAACCAGAGGCACACGATGCTTATTTTCGCGCTGCATTGCTTGCTGGATAGAAATATTGCGTTCTGATTGTGCATTTGAAATGGGTGACAATATACCAAACAAAACGCAATATTTCCACCCAGCAAGCAATATAGCACGAAAATAAATATAGGTCTGTTCGTTTTCGCGAGACAAGTATATGCTTTCTCACTTCAACTTATTGCACTAGAGGTGCTTCAGCGGTGCAGCGAAAACGAACAGACCTATTGTGTGCCGCTGGCTTAATAATATGAATAGAAGTAGTACTACGTCTCACCAGTAGTACACACGCTCTTCATGTCGTTCTAATTCAGCGCCCGTACAACCTACAACATGGCTGACAGTCACGTGAACCACAATGACCACTGACATCAAAGAAACTGCAGCTACTGTTGCAACTGTGTGTAGTTAAATTGTTCCGGTATGCTATCTACCATGCCATATTCGCGCTCAGTAAGTAGATTTATTCATTATAATTATATATATATAATTATACATTTATTTTTGGTCCGTTTTTCACCTTAACTTTACTTGGTTGCATTATTTCAAAAAATGTACATACATATCGAAGTATATGAGATTTTTATGCTTTGCGTTGTGTATAAATTTCTTGAACTATTGCAGTGTATAAATTTCTTGAACTATTGCAGTCAGTCCAACTAAAAAGAACCGATCAATAATATCTATCATTCGATAATTTGTTTCGTTCATACGAATATTACTTTAACAGCATGACGGAACAGGTAATAAGAGAATCATTTTTGACGATGACTTTGGCAAACACACACATCAAGATCCAAAAACGAAAAGAGAGGAAAAGGTGAATTTGTTTGAAGATGATGATCATAATGAAGATGTTGACGATAATGAGAATTTATGGAATGAGGATACATTCAACACCAAGAAACGTAAAAAGGTTAGTATTACATATTTATGTGTTACATTTATGTTCATTTTGTTTGCCGAATTGAAGTCACATTTTTTTGTTGAATTGTTTCTAGTGTTTCTTGTGAATATTTCAGTTCACTTTATCCAAGGAAAGAATTAAATTAAAAACTTTAATATTTAAGATCTGTGATATTTAATATTTTGGATCTGTACTTGAAAGCTCCCTACATACCGTTAAAGTTTGCTTCAGATCTGTGTGTCTTAATTTGTAGGGTTCTTTTGCTAGTGTCAAATTTAAATTGCTAGTATTTACTGATGATCAAATAATATCTACTGACATATTTAGTCACATAAAAATATTTTTATATTCAATTATACTTCTGATGGAGTACTACTTGGTGTTCCATCAGAAGTACAATTGAATATAATAGTATTCTTACACGACTAAAATAAATAGCAACTTGATATTGCTGTTAAGCTTAAAACTATTCTTCCCGTGATAATTTTGAAGCCTACGGAAATCATTTTAATAAGTATAATTTAAACATTGTAAATTCTATTAATGTAGTGAAATGCTTTTCAATCATTGGCACGAAGTGAGAGAACATAATTATTTTTGTTTATACAATTTTTTTTTTATGGTAACAGATTATTCTCGGCCACGACGCACGATTTACTTTGGACGGACGTTTTGCAGAAGATAATCATCAGGATGAGACTGAGGTTATCACTGGTGCTGAGGAGTGTGATTTGCAGAAAGAGAAGGAGAGGGAATTGGATATACTGAAAGATGTCTTGGGAATGCCCTTTTCAATGAAAAATCAAGAAGCAAAGGCATCTAAGTAAGAATACGTAGAAGTGCGAAGCTTTTAAACGATAAATGACGTATTATAATCATGTATATAATCGTAAAATTTACAGGAAAGAATTGATGATACGTTACGATCCAGCTGAAAAAAGACACTGCGAATACGAAGTGAAAACTGTGCAATCAGAAACGAAGGAAAGAAGCGCCAAGCAAAAGAAACGTGAGAAAGCGAAAATCGAGGAATCTACGGCCGCAGAAGTGCCGAAAGATGTTTATTACACCGTCTCTGACACTTTGACGCGAAGTTTAAAGCAGAATGAGAGATTTAGTTTGTTGAAAGCATGCGGGAGAGAGGAAAACGACATGAGTATTTATTTCAAGATCAAATATATTTATGTTTTTATCACGTTATTTCGATGATTTCTCACATTTTTGTATATTCAGACATCGATGATCGTGACACGAGAAACTGCGATATTGCGAATTCTGGTGTATCCACGATGAGAAATGACAAGGACGTGCGGTTTCATTTTAGCGCGAGGAATGCGTTCAAGCACGATTTGTCTGATAACGAAGATTTGAACGAGAGATTTGATGAACGAGTTGTCGAACAGTCTGAGAACGATAATCGTATAAATGATCTGTTCGAATATGGAAATATTCTTTTCTTTAGAAACGACGATGTACGATTTAACGGTATGTATGTGGATCGTTGAAATAGCAGAAGCGTCGTTTACGCCCGAGATGAACCGGACAAATCTATTTTCAGAGGCTGTGAGATTCTTCGACGTAAAGGTTACTTCAAGTGAGGAATTCAAGAATTTGAGGCGCAAATTGAAAGTTATCATACGCACGAAAATTCGTAGAAATGAAAGAAAATATCAGCCATGGAATAAGAAAAAGAAAATAAAAAGATCGTAATAAATATTTCCCCATTATATTTTGATCCTAAATTAATAGACTTGCGGTATGCGATCTATAGTGTGTTCCAAAAATCCTGAAACGGTTAAATATGTCGAAAACAAGGCATTTGAAGAAAAAAATGTTATCATTGGTAGCATCGGAGGGGCACGATAATCTGTACGTAATCGTTGATATTGAATCGAAATTGAATCATTGACATTGAGTTGAAATTGAATTATTTTGAGGGTCGAAAATTCATTAAAAGTTGTAATAGAAATGCATCGAAATCGATGAATATTTTAACCGATATTTGATATATATTTTCGATATCAATTCAATAAGTCATTTCTCGTTGGGTATTTTTTTCCTGTAGAAATCTTGAATCTTCCGTGAAGAAATAAGATTATGTATAAGAAAAAATTTCAAATAGACAAGAAATTATCAACAAATAATGATTTATTTACGACCAGACTTATCGTGTCATTTTTGAAGAATTTCAAATATCTTATTCATTTCATATATATTTTTATCTATGTGTATTTATTTAAACTTACGATTAAATGTTTCCGCATTTTTCGTTCTAAACTTTTAAATATGGAATTTTTATTATAGATATAATCGTTTCTATAATTATCTCTATATCCATAATTATAAATTTAATTTAATTAGAACCAAGTTGCTCTCGTGTGGTTATTGTATTCTTGATTTGGTGGGCAACATTGCTGTCATGTCTTCGGCAATGATTTCAGAGTTCTCCGGTTGCGGATTCAAATTTAAAAAATCCTCATGACTCGAGTATTTTATCTCTACCATTTTCTTCATTCCTACATCGATAGAGTTTTCAAACTCTCCGTTAGATAACAACGCATCATTCTCTGGAAAAAGAGCAATCAATATACATTGTGTCCCATTTAATTTGAACATCTTAAATATTGTTTTTGATGATATGAAAAAATAGTGAAAAATGTGATTGCCTTTTTTTCTTCGTCTTAATTTTCGGCTTTTTACTTATTTATTTAGTCATTATAAAATACTTCTTATCCGAGGTAATAATAATATCTACTCAATCTCTGAAACTGATTTACCGGTAGGAGATACGAATTGCGGCACCGATAATTTTACATTTTGCTAATTTCACTCTTTTCTCACTCGTGTTAGCTGAATCTATATGTCTATGGCTGAACCTATTTGCAAACATATCTCTAATAGTTACGACAACATAGTGACAAAAATAGGTCATCCTATAAAGAACGGTTATAATTTTGAGATTTCAAAAAATATGACTTTGAGAAAAATTATTTTTTTATGACATATTGCCCCTTTGAAAGAAATAATTTTCTTCGTCATTTATTTTTTGTCGAAAACGATAAAAAAATTTACCATATGTAAAGTGCTTTCGTGTAATTATTTATTATAATTAATAAATATAATTAATTATATGATTGTGTAATACTATCAAATGATTGTGTAATATAATAAATTATTCATATATATATGTATACCATGAAGAACATCCTTGATATTCTCTTCATTTCCGATCAGACGAATATATTTGTTATCGGCGAGTATATTGATACGTCTTACGATGTCGGAATTAAGATTCAGCAGCCAAAATCGATTTATCTTATGGTTCAGCCTTGTCGATAGCATTTCGATTCCCTGTCGCAAGAATTACGAATACTTTATAAAAACATTTCTAAAGTCAATTATATAAACAATGTTTTTAAGATTGTCCACGAAATAAAAGTTTAGAGGATTTAAATTAGGAGATTTTCAAGAATTTCAGTGTTCAAGAACACAAATATTTGACTTTCCTGTTTTCTTTAAACATATATAACTTTGCATGTTTAAAATTATTAAAGTTATTATTTTTTCATAGGTCGCTGAACTTCTCTCGCCGCCAGCTGTAAAATCGTGTAAACAAAAACGTTATTCTATTAGAAAAAATAATCTTGACCTTAAAATCTCTGAAAAAATTACTTGGAAAAAATTTTTTTTCATCACAATTGCTCTCTCAAGCGGTGCAACTTTTTCTTCAGACATTTTTTCATTGTCAAAAACATGCAAAATAATTCAAATGTTCGATTTAAGTGGATCATCCTATATATATATCGTAATAATCATATATATATATATATATATATATATAAATCATCAAATTTTCAAAGAATTATATACATATTCGTGTTATACAGATTACCTTGATTGAAGTGTAATCGATGTCGACGAATCTTTCACAATTCACGATCAACGACACATCGCTTCCCTCGTTTCTTACTATAGTCATCACTTTGTCAATAAAGGAAGCTACCGCGGGATAATATAAACATGTGTCGAGCTCCAACATTACGTACTTATTTCCTAAGTCAGTCTGGAAAAATACAAATGTGCGATGTGTAAAGAAAGAGACCATATTATCTTTATGGTCGACGAACTTGTAGTAATTAAATATTCAATATGTCAAGCAAGCTGTACAAACACATTACAGGTGCGATTATTAGCTTCACTATTTGAAGAATATTGTATTAAAACGCATGATGTCAAGACTTAATGCTACGATAAGAATTAACCTTACAAGCGCGTAATATATAAATATAGGGTACCTCATTTTAACTTAGAAAAAATATTACATAATATTCTTAGAATATTATAAGAATATTATTATAATATTGAGTAATATTCATATAATATTCTAGGAATATTATGCATTTATAGAGTATGTAATAATATACAAACAAAGCAAAATATTTATGATCCGAATGGCAGCAGGTCAAGCTGAATAACTCAAAATCTCGTTACTTTCTCTTTATTAAAAATTGATGTATCATCCCTTGTTTCAAATGAAAATAGTATGTGCTTCATTCAAATATCGATATGTCGATGAAATCAGTTAATAAATATTTGTACGTTACACGCAACGAGAAAAACAAATTGTTAGTGGATCGTGATTACTAAACGGCAAATTCGGTTCTAGTTGGGATAAAGGATTACTTTTTCGACTTTGTGGTTACTGACCTTACGGTTGATAACTTGAACAGTTGGTCTCGCTGATGGCCGGATGAAGAAGACTAGATTGAAGAAAATGCCCAGAAGCAGCCCAATTTCGACGCTGATGAATAAGCAGCTTAAGAAGGTACCTATCGCCGCAACGGCGTCCATCTCTACAAGGAGGTAAATATATCAGATAGATCGTGGCGTTTTCACTGATGACACTACCCATACAATGTTGTAACATTGCATATTGCAGTGCAATATTGCAAAGACATTGCAGAAAGATATTATTTTGCAATATTACTTCGATAATGTTGCAGCAATATTTCAAAACATTTTTAAAATAGCATAATATTGCAATGTGTGATTGGTGCATGCATTGCGGGCTATGTTCCAATATTCGTTATTAGTACTGAAAATTTATAGTTAATATTATTTTAATAAATTTATAGTTAATTACGTACATTAAGTTGGGTTATCGATTACATTCTAAATTGCGTTAAAAAAGAGTGTTCAAACTATTTTGAAATTCAAAATATATAATGTAAACTATGAATTTACAATATTGGAACTAAAACATTGAAAGACCTTTGCACTCAATAAATTTTTAGTCTCGTAACCATAAGTTATATATATATATATATATATATATATATATATATATATATATCATATATACACACACACAATATTTAATTTGACTTCCGAGTTAACGCCGTACCCTTCGTAGATTTCCGATGTTTCGTAAACATTTTAGTTCATTTCATCAGGATGAGAAACGACTCAAGATCAACCTGCAGATCTCAGGTCGCAACTCATTCTGAAGAAATAAACTTAAATGTTCAAGAAATGTCGGAAACAAATCCATGAAGGATACAGCGCTAACTCAAAAGCCAAAGTCCAGTATTTATTCATACCGCGGAAGCCTAAAAAATCACAAAAGTGTTATTGCATGTATATTATATTGCAATGTTTCTACAATGTTACATTGCAATATTTTTATGCGCGGACTTTTGCTGTTGTTGCAATGTCACATCAACAATTTCATAATATTCCTGCAATATTGCAATCTTGCAGAAAAATATTGTTGCAATGTATCTGCAATCTTGCTGTACTGTATGGGTATTTTAAATCGCTCTCTGTAGCGCAAGCATGTTACACGGAGAGCAGCAATAATAATACTGACTACGTCCTTTCCAGAGCAACTTTATGATCTTCAGGTCGATCATGAATATCACCGCGGTTATCAGCACTGCCGCTAACGTGGCGCGTGGAATATAATAAAAATATGGCGTTAAATAGTTCAGTGCCAGCAACGCCATAGTACCTACGAAATAAAGAGTGGTTAGATTTCTCTTGTGTACTCACATGTCACGTGCGTTACATCATTGCTATTTTACGTAATATCTCTCGCTCTACCATTTCAGGATTAACATATTACATGTCCCCCCCCCCCCNATATTATTTAATATTAAGCAATATTATTAACATATATAATACTTCTGGAATATTGATAGATTATACGTCTCCGCTCCTAATACTATTAAAAAAATAATATTATTTAATATATTATTGTAATATTATATTTTAAATATTTAACTCTATGTGTATATATATAATATATAATTGTTTTTTTTATTTAAAATGTGTATTGCTATACCAATTGTTTTATTATATAAATAAGTTGAAATAATTTTGTGTAAAAATATATTTTATACTAAAAAAATTACAAAAATTTAATTATATAAGTGACAAATAACGATAACGAATTACTTTCCTTGACCCGAAGAAAAATAAGATTGATATCGTTCTTTCGTGATTATTACCAGAATATAAACCAGCCATAGGCGTTTGCACGCCACTGGCATTACTGACTGCGCTCCTTGTAAATGCACCGGTGGACGGCATCGACGATACGAAGCTTCCGACTATGTTACAGAGGCCGAGTGTCAGCATCTCTTGCGTGGCGTTTACATTCGCGCCCATTGCTACAAAGAGATAATTCGTTGAAAAAGTACGAAAGCTTTATTAGAGACGATAGTTCCCTATAAGCGCGTAATATTACTTAATATTAAGCAATATATTCTAAGTATATTCTTAGAATATTAAACGTAATATTCAAATAATATTCTAGTAATATTTAATGTTAAGTAATATTTCTGTTAATATTTTATTTAACATTTTAAGGAATATTTTTAAGGAATATTAATGGATGGTTATATGTCTACTCCTAATAATATTTAACAAGTAATATTATTTAATTTATTGCAATATTATATATTTTTTAAATATTCAAGTCTATGTATATATATAATATATATAATTGTAGTTTTTTTTTATTTCAAATGTATTGCAATACCAATTGTTTTATTATATAAATAAAGTCGAAAGAATTTTGTGTAAAAATACATTTTATATTATAAATTTATATATATATTTTTTTCTTTTTTATTTATATATATTTTTCCACATTATTATTTTATTTTGTTTTCAATATTCTAAGAACATTTTTATAATATACCAAGAATATTATGTGAAGTGAACATACAATATCAATGGAACATTCCTATAATATTAAAAAATATATAGCTTTCTTAAAATATTATAGGAATATTATTTTAATATTGAATAATATTCATACAATATTCTAGGAATATTACACGCTTATTGGGTTAGTAATAGTTTTATGCTTATGGAATGTATTCGGAATGGTATCTCAGTCTGTGAGATTTTTATGCGGCGAACTTATATAATCGACGGTAAACCACGGTTCGATTTGAAATTAAATGAGTTGATACCAAATGCTTTAGCTATCGCCACGTTCGCCAGGACTGATATGATAGGGAGTATCACTAAGCCCGATCCATAATGGACGCACATGTCGAGGAACGTGTAAGTTTGATTGCCCACTTGTGCTGAAAAGGGCGGTAACGACAATGTTGGCAGACCAGACTCGATTTTTCCTACAAGAGAACGATGTAATATATTAAAATGTTCTGTATAAACATGAGAAAAAAATAACGCGTTGTACCTAATCCTCCGCTCTACAACTATTATATATAACTATAATATGACGTACAGACTTTTTCTTAACAATGTGATTTTAGCATATTAATTTTATAACTGTTTATTGATTATTAAAACAAAGGGACAGTTTCCGCAGTATTTCGCAAAATCAATCGATCGCAAGTGTTATTTTTAAATATATATATTTTATATCCTATAAACACGTAATATCCCTAGAATATTCCTAGGAATATCTAAGAATATTATGTAATATTTTTTAATATTATAGGAATGTTTTATTGATGTTATATGTCCACTTTATATAATATTCTTGGCATATTATAAAAATATTCTTAGAATATAAAAAAATAGTAATAATATAAAAAAATATATATATAAATAAAAAAATATAAATATATATATGTGTGTGTGTGTGTAATTTTTATAGTATAAAACATATTTTTATACAAAATTCTTTCGACTTTATTTATATAATAAAACAATTGGTATTACAATATACATTTGAAATAAAAAACTACAATTATATATATTATATATGTACATAGAGACTATTTAAAAAATATATAATATTATAATAACATTAAATAATATTATTTTTTAGATATTATTAAGAGTGGACATATAAGCATCTATTAATATATTCTAGAAATATTATTTAATATTAAATAATATTACGCACTTATAGGGGTGCTTCTTATGTCAGAAATGTTTTTTCACGCTTCTATTTTCAATGATTGTTTCTTGGCCAATCTTATTGGTCCAGCCATAGGCTTGAATGAATCAAGATAAATGTTTTACTTGTTTTTTCAGCAACTATTTATTTATTTCACTAACAAAATATCATTACATTATTACGATTACTTAACACGTCATGTCGTGCCATTTCCTAGCGATAATAAAGTAATTATATGTTAATACCTGATAGTCTAAACGTAGCGGATCCTGTAGTTTCAAGTCGGTAAGCTATCACAGTTGTTATGCAAACAATAAGAGCATTCCTACCAATCGAGAAGTACCACAGTATTTTCTTCATTACTGAGTTTTTAGAAGTGCTTCTCTTGTCTCCCCCACAAGGACAGTCGATGTCTTTCAGTTTCTACGCAAACAGACTCTACGTCACGCCTCTACGATCATCATAAATTTACCTATGTAATTCCGAAACTCACTTTGAAAAGCAGAAGAAACAAGATGCTACAGATACCGAGAGCAAGATCTGGCAGTCTGATGTTGCCGATGTTTTTGCACAACTTGTACAAATTGTCGATGATATTAACCGATCTGTATTTCAATCCCAGAAGGCCCTGCAACTGGGCGATAATTATAATCATCGACGTCGCCGAGATGAAGCCCGACGTTACTGGTATCGATATAAAATCTACCAAAAATCCTGCAGGAGGAGATCAACGTTGATTATCGATGTTAAATAATCGTGAATGATAAAACGTGTGGGGAAAAAATGAGAGCAAAGGTGTCGATTGTGTTTTAAAACACAGAGTGAGAATTACAAAAGCGAGCAAATCCACTAAATACTGACCAACGAAATTATAAATATTTTGATAAATTCACTTGTATATACTTTTTGATATTACTTTTGATTCTCACTACATTTTGAGATATACAGAGTGTCCCGAATCAATCTTAGTTCTCGTGGCCACTTTGAACAGAAAAGTTCCTTACCAGTTTGTAAATGATTCGCAAATTTTTCAGTTATTAATTAAAGAAGCTCCTCTATAAATGACCATTTTCAATCATTGATAACTCGAAATTTTGCATGCTATTTACAAAATAGTATCGAAATTTTCCGCTCAGTTTTACTCGTTCTACTTGCGCACCATGGGACACCCTGTATAATTGACACCCCGAGTGTTCATTAAAATTTGAGCCGTTATGAAGAAAACATCGCGATATTAACCTAAATTTAATACGCCCATCAAGAGCTCCACGCATCCGGCTAGGAAACACAGAAGCACTACGAACTCAATTGGCATGTCCCGCGTGTATTGCAGCGTTATGAGAGCCATCAGGGACGACGGGCCGATTGAAACTTCTTTGATGGTGCCGAAGACGATGTACAAAAAACCGCCCACGAAACAAGAATACAAGCCATACTGCAAACATCATTCATCACGTACAGAAGACTTTATTAACGCAATCCCATTTAACAGGTTCGGCGACGCGGAAAATTTTCGACGAGGTGCGTTATACCCTACAATATTCATGCATCGTGATCGTCGATTATTCGATAGATCGGCAACGACGCTCAAAAGTGGCAGTCATGATGTATTTAGACGTGCAAATTAATTCGGTGCCTTTGCATTTAATGCCCTGTAACTCTGGTTTGAATTTACGAAGGTTTGATAAGTAACTTGGTTTGCATATTAATAGAGGGCGACAGCGACTGTATATGTGATCATAAAGCGTCCTTCCTATGGATGAATTTTTTATGGTCATAAGTCATTCTGACAGTAATTTGTTGTTTGACAGTTGCTTAAACAGAAGTGTTTCGAGTAGCAGTGAAAAATGGAAAAAATAATATTGGAATTCGTGGTGCGATTCAATTTTTTTTGGCTGAAAGGGAAAACAGCGAAAGGAATTCATGAGAGGATTTCCTCTGCATTGGATGACTCGTGCCTTTCCTATGAAACCGTTTGACTTTGGGCAAATGAATTCAAGCGTGGCGGAACAAGCATCGAAGATGCACCACGTTCTGGAGCCTCGAAATCGGCTGTCACGCCAGAAATCATCGATAAAGTCCATGATATGGTTTTGGCTGACAGATGATTGAAGGTGCGCAAGGTAGCAGAGGCCACAGGCATCTCAACTGAGCACTTCATAATTTTTACATAATGAATTGCATATGAAAAAACTTAACGTAAGATGAACGCCGCGTTTGCTTACATCAGAGCAAAAACAAATTCGCACGCGAACATCAGCCAACTGTTTGCAAGTATTTAACCCTTTCGCGGCGAACAGCGCCTTTAGGCGCTCAGCTATAGATGCTCATTCTCAGCGAACAGCGCCGTTCGGCGCTCAGGCAAATTTACCCGCGGTGAACGAACAGCGCCAGATGGCGCCCATCCGGAGCCGCTCTCTTCATACGAAGGCGCTGTTCGTTTGTTATCAACAACTGCCATTAATGTCCAATAAGTTGTTTTTGACGTGCTAGCAGCATACGCTTCTTGTGCAAAGGTTTTTTTTACATAGTCAAATATTATATACACACTGCGTTCGGAACGACTCGCGTATTTGGTCCGCGCGGTCGATCTGGCATCGGCTGCTTAGAGCGCAACTCTTTCCAGAGCACTCCGCCGCGAAAGGGTTAAAAAGAAGCCAGCGGATTTTTTGCGGTATATTGTAACCATGGACGAAACTTGGATTCACCACTATATCCCGGAAACAGAACGATAGTCGAAACGCACGAGGCAAACCGAAAAAGACGAAATGCCTTCCATCCGCTGGAAAGGTGATGGCGCCAATTTTTTGGGATGCGAAAGGAATTCTCCTGATTGACTACCTCGAGAAGGGGAAAATCATTATTGGAAAATACTATGCATTACTTTTGGATCGATTAAAGGCAGAGATCGCGGAGAAACGTCTAAGAATCGCCAAAAAAAAGGTGTTGTTCCACTATAACAATGCACCGACGCATTCAAGCTATTTCGTTGAGCAAAAATTGACCGAATTGCGATTTGAACTACTTCCGCATCCAGCCTATTCACCTGACTTAGCTTCCTCGGATTAACATCTGTTCCCGAAACTCAAAACTTTCTTGACTAGACAAAAATTTGGGTCAAATGAAGAGGTCATACAGGAGGTAAACGAGTATTTTGAGGGCCTCGAAGAAACTTACTTCCGCGAAGGGATCCAGAGATACGTTGGGGCAAGTGCGTTGAACTTCAAGGGGGTTATGTCGAAAAATAAACTACGTTACAAAACTCAAATTGTTATCTTTAATGTCAAACCAAGTTACTTATCCAGCTACGTAAATTTTTTTCCTGTCTTATATGGCGGTCTTGAGCTTTAGGAAGCACTATAATAGTTGACGGCCTTGCCGATACAATTTCAGGAAACAGTAGTTATCACGATGTTGTTCGAAAAGAAGCATTGCATCCTTTTTGCATTCCAGTTGAATAAAAATGCTGCTCGGTCTACCGAAGTGATTTGTTCCGCTTTGGATGAAAGAGTTTGTGACTCATAAAATTTGTGAAAAGACTTTTTACCGGCGATATAACTAGACAGGTGATTCCGCTGCACGATAACGCGCAGTCACATACCGCAAAAAGGACGAAGGATCTTATTTGGGATTTGGGATATAAAGGACAAAATTACGATAACAGTAATGAGTTACTTTTATGAAGTAAAGTAACTTTCCCAATCCCAAGTGTAACACAACCACTCTATAAGCGCGTAATATTTAATATTTAATATTAAGTAATATTTCTGGAATATTAATAGATGGTTATATGTCCATTCCTAATAATATTTAAAAAAATAATCTTATTTAATGTTATTGTAATGTTATATATTTTTTAAACATTCAACTCTATGTGTATATATATAATATATAAAATTATAATTTGTTTATTTTAAATGTATCGAAATACCAATTGTTTCATTACATAAATAAAGCTAAAAGAACTTTGTGTAAAAATGCGTTTTATATTTAAAAAATTATACATACATACATATATATATTTTTCTATATTATTATTATTTTATTTCTTTTTCAATATTTTAAGAACATTTGTACAATATACTAAGAATATTATGCGATGTGGATTAATAACATCAACAGGATATTCCTATAATATTAAAAAAGTAATACATATAATATTCTTCAAATATTATAAGAGAATATTACTTTAATATCGAATAATGATTATTGAATTAATTCAATTAATATGAAATAAATCAATTCAATTAATACTAACATTGTATTCGTATAATATTCTGGGAAAATTACACGCTTATAGGGCACTTTGCGCTCAAACATACTTCTCTCCTCTTTTCGTCTCAACTTTTTTCACGTGCAACGAGCGAGCCGGTAAAAAGATCGATGCGAAAAGCAAAGATGAAGAAAGCTGAAGAGGCTACGATACCTGGGCCGTTAGGCCGGCCAGCGCTGCGTAAGCTATACTCTGCGGGATCATAGTGAGGCCCAGAGTGATGCCCGCGATGAGATCCGACATGGCCTTCATTCGGCTGTATTGCGGTAACCAGCCGAGTATCGGCATGTGCTTGGCCATCGCGGAAGGACACTTCCGCTTCGTCGGCCGTGAGCATTCCTCGACTTCGGATGCCTTCGCAGCCACGGACATCATTCAAAATACGGAAAACGGTGAATATCACTCGTAGAAAAAGCAACGAATCCGCCGTCCGCACTCGCCGCGTGCGACTCAACTCTCAAGTGGAAATAATTTACACGCGAGATACGCGCGCGTGATCTCTCTCGGTCGCAGCGAAACTCTACCGCGCGCGCTTTTGGATTCTTATCGCGTACACGCCCGTGTACATCCCTAAAGCTCCGTACAAATACAGAGACCGAAGAGTAGCTTCGCTTAATTTCGCTCGCTGAGTCCTCCCACGAATGATTGACGCGTTTTCCTTAAGCGCATCTTAAACGCTGTTTACTGAATCTGATAGTGATCTTTGCGCGCGGAGAACCTTGACGTCGCGGGATTGATGGGTATTAACGAGCGGCTTCCCTCCAGCAGTTTCTGTCTATTTACAATTGTTAGCGTTCGAATCAAGACGAACAGACAATGAAGCGCACAACGAAACTTCTCGCACGTGGGCGTCTCTTCATGAAATTGATGCGAAAAGAATGATCGGTTCGGCAAAGTTTCGCTCTTAGCTTTCTCCGTAAGCGCGTAATATTATTTAATATTGAGTAATATTTCGGGAATATTAACAGATGGTTATATGTCCGCTTCTAATAAGATTTAAAAAATAATATTAATTATTGTTATATATTGTAATATTATATATTTTTTAAATATTCAACTCTACGTGCATATATATATAACATATAATTGTAGTTTTTTATGGTATAGGACTTTTCTGTTCAGTTTCACCCATTCTACTGCACACCACGGGAACAATCGAGATTAGTTTGTAACACCCTGTATAAATAAAATCGAATGAATTTCATGTAAAAATACGTTTCATACTAAAAAAAATTATGCATATGGGTCATTCCATGTGAAAGGGGTACGCTCAAAAATTAGATTTGATCGAAACCTATGGCAATCGTTAGTACTATTTTAGAAAACATTTGTCAAATTTTTTCGGATTTTTTGACCCACACCATGAGCTTCTATGGCTGTCATAAAATTCGAATTTTTACTTCGACTACCAGTTTCTTAATTCTCGTCGTCGTCGTCGTGCCAATAAAAAAAATCTGAAACTATTGTAACTTTATAGCATTTTTCCCGTAGAATCTGAAAAAAATATTTATAAAATTTTAGGAGGTAGTTTTCACCCTTATTTTGAGATTTTAAAGTTTAAAATCGAAATTTCGCAAAGTACGCCACCTTCGATTTTTTTTTGTTTTTTTTATTTTATTCCTTTTTAAATTTGCTTTCGATTAAGTCATGTCTCATGATGGTAATCGACCTGGAACAGGCCCAACATAAGGCCCAAAGGCAAAAATCCACTTTTTTACCGTTATATCTCAACCCTCAAGACGGTCATAATCAGGTTTGAGGTGTATTCTTAGGTTTTGAAGGTCGTTGATAACGAATCTGAAGTCAGATTTTTGGGAAAAGGTGGATTTTTGCCTTTGGGCCTTATGTTGGGCCTGTTTCAGGTCGATTACCATCATGAGACATGACTTAATCGAAAGCAAATTTAAAAAGGAATAAAATAAAAAAATCAAAAAAAAATCGAAGGTGGCGTACTTTGCGAAATTTCGATTTTAAACTTTAAAATCTCAAAATAAGGGTGAAAACTACCTCCTAAAATTTTATAAATATTTTTTTCAGATTCTACGGGAAAATGCTATAAAGTTACAATGGTTTCAGATTTTTTTTATTGGCACGACGACGACGACGAAAATTAAGAAACTGGTAGTCGAAGCAAAAATTCGAATTTTATGACAGCCATAGAAGTTCATGGTGAGGGTCAAAAAATCCGAAAAAATTCGACAAATGTTTTCTAAAATAGTACTACCGATTGCCATAGGTTTCGATCAAATCTAATTTTTGAGCGTACCCCTTTCACATGGAATGACCCATATATACATATTTCTTTTTTATTTATATATATTTTTCTGTAATATTATTATTTTATTTTTTTAATATTCTAAGAATATTTTTACAATATGCCAAAAATATTATATAAAATGGACATATAACATCAACAGAACATCCCAATAATATTAAAACAAAATTACACAACTTTCTTAGAATATTACAGGAACATTATTTTAATATTGAATAATATTCACATAACATTCTAGGAATATGACGCGTTTATAGGGTGGTTCAAGCATTGACTGCGTTCTCGCTCTTCTTGCGTTGCGCGAAATGCGAACCCGTAATCAACGGAGAGCGCGGTAGCGTGTTCGACGACGCGCAGCTATTTGATATGTATTGCTAATCTAGAGATTTTATTGCGCCGAATTTCGTGTTACACAAGTACGAATAGATATATCAGGAAATACAGACGTATTGGCATCAGGATCGAGCGTGTGTCAATTACATTACACAGCGCAATGTCTTTCGCTTCCATCTGTTTTTTTTTTTTTATCAAAGCGAAGCGCCGTGCCAATGTTGATTCTCTACGAGAGAGAAGATCGTGCCTGTCGTAATACAAAAAAGTGAAAAGGAGAGGACTGAAAATACGCCGCACCTCGCGTGACACCACAACAGCAGCAACAACAACAATAATCAAATGTAGTTGTATAATAATAATAATATTAATAAAATAATAATAATAATATTAATAAAATAATAATAATAATATTAAAGTGACAACAATAATTAATAATAGTCCTAATCATAATCATAGCGCGCGCGCGTGCACGCGTGTATGTGTGCATGTGTGTGTGTGTGTGTGTGAGAGAGAGAGAGAGATTGATAAAATCTCCAAATCCGTTTCAACGTAACAAAGGGAAGGGTGTTCATTTTTGTTGTCATCTTGTGTTTTAGAACACGGTATTTCTGCCGATGACAGGGACGTTCGATAAACGATTTCAACGTAGCTTCTTGTTGACTTGATCGATCTGCTCGTCAACCCTCTCGGAAGTTCCCCTGAACTTGTTTGGCTCGGGCCCTATCATTTGTATGAGCTGCGGCACTTCCTGGCTGCTGATCTGCGTGAAACGCGCCAGCGATTTCATGCATGCGTAAAGCTGCTCCTCCGCGGGACTGCCGTTGAAGTATTGCAGCAACGCCATCGTCAGCTCCACAGCTACATCGTCGAACACCTGCGCGAATCACATGATTTTTCACATTAGAATTACTCAAGAAATATTACGCCATCACTGCAAATCCTTTAGCTGAAGCTCTTCTTACACATTTCTTACACATGTTACGATGCCGTTTTAAATCACGTCATTTAATACAGTTTGAACGTGTTAACTTAACGCATCGTAATTTAACGTGTCAATTTAACACGATTAGACGTTTTAAACGAACGTAAACTAAATCGGCAAAAACATTTTTTTAAATAGTCAGATGTGTGTCATTTTAAGACGTTTATGTGTGTAAAAATACCACATTTGGATTTACAATGATTCCCCATTAAAAACATATTTCATACGTAATCGTAATGTAAATATACGTAACTATGCATAATTATACTCAATTATGTATGAAATCCTTGTAGAAATTTCATACCGGTAAGTTAGTGATTAATTATTTACCCTACAAGCGCGTAATATAGAATAGAATATTATATGAATATTATTCAATATTAAAATAATATTCTTACAATATTTTAAGAATGTTATGTAATATTTTTTAATATTACAGGAATGTTCGATTGATGTTAATACATAATTTAAAAGATTAGAATGAAAATTCTGAAATCTTAGTTTTTTCATTAAAAAAGTCAATAAAAACTGCAATTATAATTCTCAATTAAAAATGTTTACTTT